TCGAGCTCACTCGTGAGCCATCCATACTCAATTTAATCAATTTGGGTATGAGGGAAATTTTATATAGGAAACTGCTTTGGCCAGGATATGTCTCAGTTAAAGCGGCAAACGACCAACCTCTTGTAAAATATTTTTTCTCGAGCAAATTTTTGAGTGTTCCCTTATAATTTTTTAAACTTGTTTTCTAGGATAATCGTGTTTCATTTTTTGTGTTGACGTGATCCTTCTATCACATCAAGCTTTTTGGAAAGAAAATTCAACTCCTTGTTCGGAAAACTCAGGGAGAAACAACTCACCTCATTTATTGTGGAGTTCTCCATTTCCGCAAGCTTGGAGCTCTAATCTGTTGCATTTTTACCGAAGCTTTATATGGTAAGAACATGCTCCTAGCCAGCTTCTGCCAGTGGATGTGTGGCCATGAATATGTTGCATTCTCGAATTCATTTCATAAAATTTTGATGCTTATACAAACAATGTTTTTTGACTGATAAAACTGAAATAGAGCTGCAATATGTGACATATTCTATGCGGCATTGATATTATTTGATTTTCTTCTTTTATAGAATAAAGACACCCAGGATCTATGAAGTAAAACTTCATTCTTTTTGTGAAATTCTCGAGTTGTGTAGTTGTTCAACTTTAAATTTCTTATAGTGGTTTAAACGCGTGTGAATCTTAGGGCCCGTTTGGGACATCTTATTTGGTGCGGTAGCGTTTTGAAAACGCACCATGTCTGTTTGGGTAAACTGCATTTTGGTAGCTTATGCATTTTCAAAACTCTGAAAACAGTTTTTTTACACCGCAACTATCTAGATAAGGTGACAGCTTTCTGGTTGCGGTCTGACTTTTCTAAAAAATTAAAAATTTGTAATAGTCATCGCACGTAGCTTATCGGCAGATTATTTTTAATCAGTTTATCAGCAGATTATTCAATAACTTGCAACTGCCCCAAACAGGCTCTTAGTCGATTAGACTTTACGTAACATTCAATATGTTTTCATTTCTTCTTCAATTAAAAACATTTGTCTGGTGAAATTAAATCGAGATTTAGATACATGCCACTCAAGTCCTATGTGTTCACATATCTAAAACTTATAGTTTGATTTGGTTGGTATTAATGTAAAAAAAGTACAATTGAGGTGTTTGATACATAAATATGTAGGAATTGGGCGGTATGTATATAAATACATCATATTAAAGTATTTAAGAGTATTGGTAAATGGGAACATGTTCCTGATGGTTTCATCTGGCCATGACTAATGAGAACTTTGTGATACACATTTCCATGCATATGTAAGATAATATATATGCTCTTTATGTAATATTCAATATGTTTTCGTTTCTTCTTCAATTGAAAATATTTGTCTAGTGAAATTAAATTGAGATTTAGATACATTCCACCCAAGTCCTATGTGCTTACATATCTAAAACTTTTAGTTTGATTTGGTTGGTATAAATGTAAAAAAGTAAACTTGAGGTGTTAGATACATAAATACGTAAGAATTGGGCGGTCTGTATGTAAATACCTCATATTAAAGTATTGAAGAGTATTGGTAAATGTGAACATGTTCTTAATGGTTTCATCTGGCCTATGACTAACGAGAACTTTGTGACACATTTCCATGCATATGTAAGATAGCATATATATATATATATATATAATTGAAATTTAGATGTTTATATATGTAAATACATAATTATGGAGTGGTATGTAGGCAAATCTTCCAATTTTTTTTTCAATTTTAATGCATGCCTAAAAAGTGTAGGTGATATAAATATAAAAATAAACATTTGGGGTCAGATATGTAAATACATTTGGATGGTATGTAAGCAAATGCTTGTTTTTTTTTATCCATGCAAAGTATAGTTGGATTGCAATAAGAACACCGAATGATAAATTTCCACGTGTCATGCATCATACTACTTCAAATTTTTAAGGATTATATATAAGCGTTAAAATAGAGTGTGTCGGGTTGCCTCTAAAGTAAATACATTAAATAAATTAATTTTACTTATTAGTTATATGCATATAAAGTGAAAATAATGTATTTAAATTATTTGAGCTTGTTTTGTTATGTGTAAAGTAAATAAAGATGAATTATTTTTAACATTAGTAATAAAATACATTTGAACTAATATATCATATTTTTAATTTTATCTTAATTTTTATTATTTGTAAATTAATATAACAACATTAAAATACATGTTATGCCAGATATGTAAATAAATAGTATTTGGGAGTATGTATGTAAATGAGTCTAAACTAGCACGAAAGAGTTGGGTTGTATGCATGAAAATCCCACGTATGTTTGTCACACAGAAGCTGCCCTAATTTAGCCCAAGCTAAATACAAGCCAATTGCAATAAAATCGAGTTAAACATAGATGTGTTATTCTCGTCATTTCAAACAGAAGCCGAACATAAATAACAAAAAAATCGAACGAGCCGAACACCAACAAGCCTTGAGCTTGCTCAAGCTCAGCTTGTTTAGAGGCCAAGCCGTGTGTTAAGTGCGAAGGAAAGGTGGGCCTTGCATGCGGATAAAGGGGAGAGCCGAGTCAAGGGGGTTGATGCATGAAGGAAGGGGTGATCAAGTCAAGCTCTTGAGTACGAGAAAATATTGTGTCTGGAGTCCGGACACAAGCTGCATCCTAACAATTGACGCGATACACCCCAAATTTTGTTTTCTTTTCCATTCGGGTGTTCGTTGTCCTGATACAGTTTACGTCCGGACTCCAGACACTATTTTTTGCTTGAGTACTGAGGAGAGGAGACTAAACCAAGTCTGAATCAAAGAAAGGAACGTGGCTTTGGTTGCAGGTCTCGTGCAGAAGATAGCCGAATCGAACCTTCAAGAAAAAAAGTTAGAACTCGTAATGTGTTGTTTTTTCTTAGATTAATTAATTAATTAATTAAAAAAAATATATTAAAAGTTAATATTAATGTTTATTAAATTTAAAAATTATATGCAAGACAACACTCAGAATGGGGAAATAAGAAAGTTTTGGCATTAGTAAGTATTTATTGAAGATTTATTTATAATTAATTAAATAATGAGTTAGGTATTAATATTAAATTTATTCTAACGAATGTTATAAATCAGAGGTGGGTAAATATTCAGATGGGAAAATAAGAAGAATTAACAACATTAATCATGTTAGGGTTTTCTATTTAAGTTAATAATAAGTAGTAAATTTTATTAAATAATATTAGATTTTGATAATTTCAAATTAATTGAGGATTTAGGTTAGTAAATATTTTTATACATTACAATAATGTTTATTATTTCTAATTATGTTTTTGATTTAAGTAAATGTGCATTTACTCGTTTAGTAGATGAATAGAAAGTAACTTATAAGCAAATATATATATAAATATATATGTTTTAAATAATAAAAAAGAAATATTATATATATGAATGCTTGTATGAGCATGCTAAGAGGAGTTATCTCCATCATGGTACACGCCATTGTACATGCACTCATAGGTGCTTTTATATTATCATCTCAAACAATTGAGGCATTTAGACCACAAATCATTGTGCTGATGAGAGAATATCGATTAGGCTGAGTATGTGTATTTTAACCTCAGATAAGAGTAGGCTGGGCTTGTGTCCTGTTGAGTTGGTGGGTATGTATCGACTAACGATGTTTTAGGTTATGTTTAGACGATGCTCCAGAGACGAATGCACAAATTTAGAGCATGGTGCGCATTAAAATTAAAAAGATTAAAGCTTATAAAGTAAAGGAAAAGGTAATGCATGTAAAGATTTTAGATTTATGGCATGAGCAATTATCATAGATATTTTATATAGATTATTGTATACCTTTTCATAATGAAATAAAAAAATACTAATCTACATATTGTTTTCATTTTTTCGAGTAACAAAAATTTAAATGTGTGATTATTTTATTATGTTATTTTAATCTTTTTTTATGTTTTAAATTTCTTAATATAAAATGAGTACTAGATGGGATAATATGTACAAACTATGCGGTCATTAAATGGAAAGGAAAACTTATTATTCGTCAGTTAAATTACCTTTTTAATGGCTCTTTTAATTTATTTGAATTATATGTTGTTAGTGATACAAAATTAAAAATTTGAAAGTTTAAGTTTCATCATCCGACTGTCATTTCCTTGTTTGGAAATTTCATGCCCCTGTGCTAGGTCGTGATAAAGTTGTATCAGAGAAAAGGTTTAGATTAAGTACCACAAATCTTAATGAAAGATCTAAGTTATTTATTAACTTTAATCAAATAATTTTGGTGATTTGAGTTATGTTAACTATAACCAGATAACCTTATTTTATCTCAAACATATGGATACCTAAAAAGAGATGAAGGTGCTCACCTGGTTGGAGAAGAATTATCACCCATTGTCATTGTGAATACAATGCCTTGACCCAAGTGATGGTGGCTTTCGCTCAACATTTTTAGGGCTCCACATCACAATCAAATGAAAATAGTAGTACACTTGCTAAAAATAAATACAATGAAACGTTCCTTCCGTAGGGGGCGGTGGAAGAATGAAATTCGACAGTTGTGGGGGCGGCCAAGATCTCATAACCGAAGGTTCGATTGACAGCAGTAGCCTTATCGAACATGAGCAGTGGTGGATATGTCCGGCGACTCCTCTGCCAACAATTCCAAGTAAGTGAGCCGAGCACAAATAATTTTCTTAAAATTGAATTATGAATAAGTTGAACACAAATAACTTCTTTATTTGATCACGTTCCACTTGTTTTAGCTTGAAATTAAGAACTTAAATATATATTATCCATATAATAATATAGTATATCTATTTATAGGTCTATGTCTTTTATTACATAAAAATTATATCTCTTTAGATCTAATACCCTAAATCAAAATTTTTAATTAATTTAAATGAATTAATTTTAAGCTGAAGACAAATATATAAATTGATTTAAAGATAACATAGTTTACAAATAAATCTGAATATTTTAAATATAATTAATTTTAAATGAGACAAATGCGAGTTTTTTGAGCTTGCTGAGCTAATCCAGGGCAGGTTGCAGATTCCGTTCAGCATTCGCGGAGCCCCTTCTGAATCCTCCTTCCTCTGAACGTCCACGGGACGAAATCGATTTCCCGCAATCCACTGCTTCTCCAACTCTTCTACCTCTCTCGAATTTTGAAGCTTCTTCCGCACTTTTCCGGAAGCCGAAAGAGTCTCCAGTCCTCCGGGAGGATCACGCCTTTAAATGGCTTGTGAAATGCGAATCGCCCAAACCCAGTGCTTCTCTACCTGCCGAACCCCCTTGTTCTCTCTGCCGCTCAAGAAGCTTGGGGTTCAAGTAGCGGTTCGGCGTTCAGGGGAGTCCAGAGGGTTGGGTGCTCGTGGGAGGATGAACGGCGTGAGGCTGAAGATCGATGTGGTTGTGAGGGCGACGACGACGGAGATGTCGAAGAAGCGGCGTTATGGGGAGGAGGCGAAGGGGTTTGTGGAGGAGATGAGGGCTGTGGCGATGAGGCTGCACACCAGGGATCAAGCTAAGGAAGGGGAGAGGGAGCCGGAGGGGAACCCGGTGGCGAGATGGGAGCCGACGGTGGAAGGGTATCTTCGGTTTTTGGTGGACAGCAAGTTAGTGTATGATACGCTGGACTCCATTATCGCTGAGGCAGCTCATCCTTTCTGTAAGTCATTTTTTGCTTTGTTTTGTTTGAGGAATGCGACTTGATTTTGAGACTTTTCTTGCTTGGATTTTTGCTGGTTGTGTTGATTCATGTTACTGTTGCGTGTTTGTGAGATGAAGAGAATAGAGATTCTTGAAATCAGTAAGTTTGCTGGAACGTGGTTGATCTAGTTTTCTTGGTGGGATGTAGGAGATGCTCATTTTAATAATGTTTGATGATAGATGACAGTTCTTTCAGTAGATTAGGAAACATTTTGTTTTATTTTGCTCTTGTTTTTGCAGTTCATTCATTGCATCACATTATTTTGTTAAATTCCATCATAAGATGGTGTGAAAGAAATACTTGTTGTTGAAATTGGGGGGGAATTGTTGGTGGTTTTGGAAGTTTGAGTGTGAAATCACAAATTTGATGTGAATGGGACTTGATTCTCTAGGACTTGATAACAACTTTCATGAACTTTATGAACTACAAGTAAATTTTGGGATTTATATGTGGAATACTTGCTTTGGAACATTTCTTCAAGCATACTATCAAGAATTAAGTCCTAAAGAGTTTGGCTTGTCTATTCCTTTTGTCTCTCTTTTTTTATTATGGGTATCAAGATGGTACATTGGTTCCTACTTATATCCTTTACTATACTCAAAGTTGGAAATTCTTTTTTTTTTTTTTTAAGGATTTACATACCACTCAATTCTTTTGTATTTACATATCTAACACCTGAACTTCAATTTTTACATACATACCATCTTACCTATGCATGAAAAGGTGTATTTCAATTTTGGAAAGTTAAAATCGTGGTATTTTTTACGTGATATGAATGATTTGGATGTTATAAATGTAAAAATCAAAGTTTAGGTGCTAGATATATAGATAAATTGCAATTGGTTAGTATGTATGTAAATGCCTTTTTTTGTGGTTTTCCTTCTTGAAAATAGGTTCTTAAAGTTTATGGGTAGTATGTATGTAAATGCCCTTTTTTGTGGTTTTCCTTCTTGAAAATAGGTTCTTAAAGTTTAGAGTATGTTCTATTTCTTTTGATGGTTATTTTATCATTGCAATTAATTTCCCTAAGATATGGCAAGATTTCAATCCATACAGAAAGAGAAAGAAATCTGTTAATATCAGTAGAAGGAAGATGAAGTGCTTTACAGTCAGTAAAAAAAAACTTTATGGTTGTTACACACAATGAGAAGCCAGAGAATTTTTGTAACATGCTATTTTTCAAGATTGAGTTGGTTTTTGGTGTAAATGCTTCTAACTTGTTCTAAAACAATTTTATTTCTTAAACTTATACACCGAATGAATTTTTGTATTAGTTGTAATATATGAAGGAACTGACAAGGAATTGTAAGTTTTATGGTTAAATTACTACAATAACAACAACAACAAAGCGTTAATCCCACTAAGTGTGGTCGGCTACATGAATTCCTTTTCTCCATTTCATCCTATTTAGTGTCATTTTTTCATTTAATTCTAATAAATTAAGATAATTTTTTTATATAATAAGCCGAAGTTTTCTTAGGTCTACCTCTGTCTTTCTTAACATAATTCGAATCTAAAACATTTACTCTCCTAATAAGATCATCAGATGGTCGACATTTAATGTGACCAAACCATCTAAGGCGACCCTTTAATTTTGTCCCTCACTAGAGCTACACCAACCCTAGCACGGATATATCATTTCGCATTTTGTCTCCAAGTGTAAAGTCACTCATCCACCTAAAGATTCTCATCTTGGCAACCTTTAACATAGTTTTATGCTTCTATTTTAAAGGCCAACATTCAGCGCCATAGGGCATTACAGGTCTCACCACCATACAACAACAAAGCCTTAATCCCACTACGTGGGGTCGACAACATGAATCCTTTTTCTCCATTGCATCCTATTAGTGTCATATTTTCATTTAGTTTTAGTAAAATAAGATCATTTTTTTATACAGTAAGCCCAAGTCTTCCTAGGTCTACCTCTACCTTTCTTAACACAAATTGAATCTAAAACATCTACCACCATTTTTTCACAGGTCTCATTGCCATCTTATAAAAAATTTCTTTTAGTCTAAGCGGTACTTTTCTATCACAGAATATGCCTGAAACATTCCTCCACTTCAACCAAACAACTTGAATTCTACTAATAACATCCCCATCAGTATCAACATCACTTTGAACAATAGACCCGATATATCTAAAGTGTTCACACCTTTTAATAATTTGATCACCCATAATTACAACTTTGTTACTAGAGCTACTACTACTAAAATTACATTCCATATATTCAGTTTTAGTTTGACTCAAACGAAGGCCTTTAAACTCCAATGTAGGCCTCCATAATTCATGTTTTCCCTGAGCTTTTTCTCTCATCTTATCCACAAGAAAGATATCATCAGCAAAATACATACACCAAGGTAAATCCTCGTGTAAATGTCTAGTAAGACCATCCATAATTAAACCAAAAAGATATGGGCTTAAAGCCGATCCTGATGCAATCCGATAGAAATAGGAAATAGTTGGTCAATCCTCCTGTTCGAACACAAATAATAGCTCTTGTATGCATATCTTTAATGACTTGAATTTAAGTCATATCAACACCTTTCTTCTCAAGAACTCTCTTAAGGATATCTCTTGGAACCTTATCGTAAGCTTTTTATAAATCAATAAAAATCAAATGTAGATCCTCTTTATTATATCTGAACTTCTCCATCAGACCTCTCAATAAATGTATAGCTTCCATAGTAGACTTGTCGGCATAAATCCAAATTGATTATGAGAAATCTTTGTAATACGTCTTAGCCTATGTTCAATTACTCTCTCTCATAATTTTAAAGTACAACACATCAATTTAAATTCTCTATAATTTGCACACTCTTGATGGGGACCAAGAAACTCTTCCTCCACTCATGCATCTTTTTAGTTTTTAAAATAATATTAAAGAGTATAGTGAGCTAAGAAACACTCAAATCTCCCAAATATTTCTACACTTCAATTGGGATACCATCAGGTCTTACAGTCTTGCCACCCTTGGTTTTCTTTAAAGCCTCAACTTCTTTTTTATTAATGCGCAGTAAAAATGAAATATTTTATTATTATTTACAATATTAAGATCAATAAGGTCGATCATATTTTCAAAAACTTAATTAAAAAGTTTATCAATGACGCAAACACTTATGTTGAATATCTTTTTATAAGAAAAATATTTTTTGATTTTCATCTTTAATATACTTTACTTGAATTAAATCTTTACTTTTTTTTTCTCTTTGTTTGGCTTGTTTATACATATATTTTTCATGTTCCTTAGCGTCTAATCTATTATAAAGGTCACTAAAAGTAGAATTTTTAGCGTCACATATTATTTTTTTAGACTTCCTGCGGGCCATTTGATATTTTTCTCAGTTATCTAAGCTTTTACATTTAAACCAGTTTTTATAACATATCTTCTTATATTTTATTTTTCTTGCACATTATCATTCCATCATTAACTATTTTTATTTATAGAAATTTTTTCTTTTGATCCTCCAAGTACATCTTTTGTCACTTGTTTAATATTGTTTATTACTTTCTCCCACATTGCATGTGCATCTTCATGAACATCCCAAATTTCAAAATGTTGAATTTTACTAATAAAAATAATTTTCTTTTAGGTACCCATGTAATTCTACGATGATGAATCATAGTATTCTTTATTTTACAACTCTTCATCTTAAAATCTAGAACTAATAATTGATGTTGGGTACTTAAATTCTCACTTAGAATGACCTTACAATTTCGACTCTCTCCTTTTCTCATAAGAATATTATCAATTTGTGTTTTATTAGATACATTCTTATAAATAATAAGATGTTCATCTCTTTTATTGAATAAAGTATTAGTAATAACAAAGTCATATGCCAAGGCAAAATGTAATATGACTCCACCTTCTTCATTAATCACTTCAAAATCGTAGCCACCATGAATATTTCTGAAATATTCTTCCACTCTACCAACATGTCTATTTAAATCTTCTCTAATAAAAATTCTTTCTTCAAGATGTATCATTTGTATTAAGTCTTCTAAGTCATTCCAAAATTTATCTTCAGAACCTATATCTAAACTTGAGGAGCATAAGCACTTACAATATTAAAAATCTTAGTATCAACAATAATCTTAAGAGCTATAATTTCATCTCCAACTCTATTAATTTTTATAACATTATCTTTCAAACTCTTATCTATAATTACACCTACATCATTTCAAGTGCGACTCTTACCAGAATACAAAAGTTTAAAATCTAATTTATCAATCTCCTTAGCTTTTTCTTTAGCACATAAGATATTTATTTTTCTATGAATTATATATCAACTAATTTCATTAATTTACCATTGAGAGTATCTATATTCCAAAATCCTAACGTAATATTAGTTTCATAGACTCGGATTCGTCTGTAATATGAAAACCCTTGCTTATTTGACACTACAACCGGGCGCCGGTGTAGCAGCCCTTGCACATTGTTCACTGTATTCAGGTCATACAATGCGTCGCTTCCAATGAGACGGCCTAGCACTTACAAAATGATCAAAACGATTCATGTCATGATTTTTTTGACAAATTTTACGCTGGTTGTCGACTACTTAACGCAACACTCCACTTTTCAAATCCCTGTTTGGGACCGGCAATGACAGTGTTTGATTAAACTAATAGTGGCTTTTAATCATATCCGTGTGTTTTAGGATTGAAATGTAAAGTATGACTTAAAACCTTCTGACAAAAAAACAATGAAATCACCTCCATCCAGTTGCCCGGTTTGTGGATTGGTGAAGGTTAATGCTTGTGTAAAAGCAAATTTGTGTGATTCTAATTGCATCAGAGGAACACTGAACTGATTATATTTTGTAATATTATTATTGAAAAAGAATATGAAATGATGTATTGGATGCAAAATGCAGTAAACTTGAGAAGTATATTGGAAAGAATGAGATGTAATCTGTATAACTAAATTGTCTTTAAGTTTCAATTTTATGTTGTGTGTTTATTCCAGTGAATTACTTGAAAAATGTTTTCATATTTAATTTTATATTCTCTGCTAGTTAGACCTTTGGGATTAAACAAGACTTTTTCATAATATTTATTCATGCTTAAACTGGTAGGTGAAATCAATCTTTCTTGCTCACAAAATTTAATTAGGAACAGTCCAACTGAAACAATTTTAAGCTAAAAATACAAATTATTGCATTAGAATTATCCTAGCATACCAGGGCAGCTTGCATTCACATGATGATGATTTTATTTACATATTTGTTTTCTTAAAACAATTTGCTTAGGGTTAGGTATATAAAGATGGAGAAATTGATGAGAAGAGGAAGTGGAAATATCGATAAATATTTGGTGCGGCAGAAAGATTTAGTTCAGTTAACAGAAATCATCATTAGTGTGTTTTACACGCAGTTTCAATCAAACTATTCTGAAAAAGAGCTTCATCTTCTTCGCAGATGCTGCATTCAAGAACACAGGACTGGAAAGATCAGCAAACTTGGCCATGGATTTAGCGTGGTTCAAGGAGCAAGGCCATGCCATCCCAGAGCCTTCAACTCCTGGGCTAACTTATTCTCAGTTGTTGAAAGAGCTTTCTAAGGAGGATCCCCAGGCATTCATTTGCCATTTTTACAACATCTATTTTGCTCATACTGCTGGTGGTCGGATGATTGGTAAAAAGGTATTTTTCACTTTAGTCCTTGGTCTATAGACGATACTGCATGCATCATTGAGATTTTAAAATTTCAAATGTTAGTTTTTAGGTCATTTTTCCCTGACAAAATTTGATATTTTTCTCGTTTTCATCTTATGGATAAAGCTTCCATGGAATGTAAGTTATTGCATTGATTTCATGTTTCTGATGTTATAATTTTGGGCCATTTTCATACATATCACTCTATTCCTATGTATTTACATATCTAACACTAAAGCTTTTCACATATATACCACCCAAATATTTTGTATCACATCAAAAATACCATCATTTTAACTTCAAAACTGTTAAATACACCTCTTCATGCATGGGTAATGTAGCATGTATGCAAAAATTGAGGTTAAGGTGTTAGATATGTGAATACATAAGAATTTAGTGGTTTCATGCATGGGTGAGGTGGCATGCATCCAAAAATTGAGGTTTAGGTGTTAGATATGTGAAAACATAAGAATTTAGTGGCATGTATGTAAATCTTCCTATAATTCATTACTTATTGTGAATGTCGGTATATCTTTTTTGCATTTTCTAGGTGGCTGAGAAGATATTGGATGGCAAAGAACTTGAATTTTACCAGTGGGAAGGAGATCTTCGCCAACTGTTACAGAACGTGAGGGAAAAACTCAACGAAGTAGCTAATGTAAGGCTCCTTCGGCAACCTTTGTTGTTAGTTATATATATATATATATATTATATATATATATATGAATATCTGTATTATTCATAATTTTTAAATAATTTATCTTACAGGCATTAATATACATTCCACATTCCCATGCATTTACCTATCTAAAACCTAAACATTAATATTTACACACATTCTACTCAAATTTTTAACATCTCATCAAAAGTATCACCATTTACAACTTTTCATGCATGAATCTATGACATCAAGGTGTGATAAATGTAAATATCAATTTTTTTACTGCTAGATATGTAAATACATAAGAATTATGTGGAATATATATGTAAATTTCCCTATAGTTCTTAAAATGCATAATGCTTCGTATAAATCTATATATATATCTTTCATTGAAAATGCACAAATTGCCACTTCTCAGGATTGGTCTAGAGAAGAAAAGAACCATTGTCTTGAAGAGACTGAAAAATCATTCAATTATTCGGGCGACATACTCCGCTTAATAATGTCATAACATTTCTACAATTTCATAATGCAATTCACCAAATGTTAATGGGTTGTGTCGCTTATTGGATTGTCATCGAACCTTTGTAATGAATTAACCTCTGTAATAAATGTGACTGTCATCATGTTGGAAGAAGCATGTTGTTTACCATCTATCTTTACCTATTGATGTTGTTAAAAATCATGTAATATTGATTTGAGCACATTCTGCAAATGATTTTCTGTATCTTTTCTACATTTTCCATGCTAATAGTAAGGATTTATATTTGTTATGTTTTCATAAGGGAGTATATATCATTATTTTTTTAATAATAATAATAACACAAGGTCATTAGATCTAATCAAATACACCCGAAAAACATCATTTCATGCCAAGATTTGTACCATCAGAATATCATAAATACACACAGGAATTATATGGTATGCATGTAAATTTTCCTTTACATAATTCACAACATTGGATTGAAGCTTTTATTACAAATTGTCTCAGATTGATGAGATGAACCTGAATCACATACAGTGACGGATATTTGATCCAAATACTTACTGGAGTTAAACAAACCATGATTAAAACTGATAAGCAAATTTACGCACATCAGTCATTAAGAAAGAAAATGCTTGCTCAGGATTTAAGAAAAAGAATGATAACCACCTGTAACTAAAAGCCTTTGTCCATGAGCTGAATTGGACTCAAAATATTGGCCTTGCTCGTCTCGACGATGCAGCCATTCATGACCATTTCTTCGAGCATGAAGTGGGCCTTCTCAAGATGGAACATGATATCAAGTTCACACTGATAAGAAATAAGAAATTGGAAGGTTTACATACATACCGCTCAATGCTTACACCTTTGCATTTCTAACAACTAAACTTCAATGTATATATGCATGAAAAAATGTATCTCGCTTTTTAAAAGTTAAAAGAGTGGTATTTTTATTTGATGAAATATTTTGGTTGTTTAAATATAAAAGAGTGGCATGTATGTAAGTGCCCCTAAGAAATATGATCAAAATATGAAAGTAGAATGTCGTTAACATTTTTAAATATAAGGGTTAGGTTAGGTTGGCATTAGAAGACATACCACATTTCCGAAATGCCGGTCCATGGTCTCCACTAAAAGATGTATAAATTCCAGAATGGCAAGCTCATTCTACAAAGGAAGAAGGAATAGCATAGTAAGGATGAAGTTTTGCAGGGTAGAACAGTTGGCAACAGAGAAAATGCTGCTTTAATTGGGCTGTTTCACCTTTTTTCTTGCAACCAATGATATTAACAACGTTATCCTTATCATTTAAACAAAAATATTATGGGAGTTTGCTGAATTAATCATATAAGAAAAGAAGAGGTTTTGGACTAGTAAGAACTAAGAATTGTACAAGTCCAAAGTATCATTTTGGTAAATTTATGCAGGTGATTAAAATATAAAACAAAAGATTTTAACAAAATATTATTGAAGCAAAACAACACGTCATTCACATAAGTGTTACATTATAGCTTAAACTGTCGTCATGATAGTGCACAATCCGAAAGTGAGCTGTTTAGGCCACGTCATTCACATAAGTGTTACATTATAGCTTAAACTCGACTGATGATAGTGCACAATCCGAAAGTGAGCTGTTTAGGCGACAAATAATCTAAAAATCTTGGAAGAAAAAAGTTCGCTGATATCTCGAGCAAAAGCGAAACGGGGCATTTACATAAATACCGCCCAATTCTTATGTATTTACATTAATTTTTACATTTACACGATCATGCCGCACAAATCTTTCATATCACATAAAAATATCACTATTTTAATTTTTAAAAAGTAAAATACACCTTTTCATGTATGGGTAAGGCGGCATATATGTAAAAATTGATGTTTAGGTGTTGGATATGTAAATACATAAGAATTGAGTGCATGAATATAAATATTCCAGAACCAAAAAGTATCTCTTCATATTATGTAGGAACATGACAAGGGCTACCAATGAACCGCTTCGAGTTGCGTCATAAAGAAGACCATTTTGGAGTATGTTTATAAAGACAAGGCAGGGAGGAAATGGCAAAGTCAATGAGCTCCGTTGCGTCATAAAGAAGACCATTTTGGAGTATGTTTATGAAGGCAAGGTAATCAAAGGCAGGGAGGAAATGGCAAAGTCAATGAGCTCCGTGCTAACAAACCTAACATGACACACATTGAACATAACCATTAAGCCAAAATGCTAGATATTAGTGGCCTATAGGAAACTATGGGTCAAGTAGACCAACAAAAGTGATGTATCTATCTTAACTATTTCAGTGGCGTCATCGTCTAAGTCTCAGTCTATTCGTTAGGGTTACATAATAGTGACCTACGCCATAAAGTGGTTCCTTATAGCGATGAGACTAAATTTCATGGAGTGGTCATGGAATTTCACTACAATGTCTCCCCGTAGGTCTACCATCTTTCAAAGTGGATGATATGGTGCTTAGCCCTTTACCATCCTCAAATGTTTGTACATAAAGAGGATTGATTCTACTCTTAGAAGGATTCCTACCATCTCTATTTTCAATAGCATCAAACCTTAGAAAAAAAAGAATGGGTGCCAACACATACCTCTTTATAGACAATATACTATTGAGATTGAGAAATTTAAGTAAAACATTCATCTAGAATTGATAAATGATTAAACGTGATTTACAAATAGTCTTCCATTTTATGGTCCAACACCAAAATAAATATGACATCAAGACCTACATCCACTATTTGATGCAGGGTTTATGGTAAACATTGGAATGGGGAGTTGGGTGATTGATTTTATTAGATGTGAACATAACTCAATGGGAGTTATATAGGTCATAAAGAGTTCTGAGAAGGTGGAGATCCAAAGGTGGGCAAAACCTACAAAGGGATAGTAGAAGAGCTTGTAATTTTTAGATGGCTAGTTTTATCTAACGCTTAAGAGGGGGCCGGGTGGGGAGACTTGATGGTATAAAAATTCCATGGATAACTTAAAAAGATGGAAAAAAATATGCTATAGCAATTAAGAGTTGTGATGTGAAAGTTTTGATATGTGGAGGTGGAATAACACATGACTAGATTGTGATAATATTTTACTACTTTGCTAAACTTGGAGAGAAAGGGCAAAGAAATGTTAGAACTTAAAAAGAACTTTCAAAATAATTGAAATATATGTAGGAATTAAAATAGCAACAAAAAATAGCCGAAATATAAAAATAAAATAATAAAAAAAGGGGTTGTTCTAAATCACCTAAGAAAACATCAAAATAATAGAACCAAGATTTTACAAAGAGCAAGAATATCTCACTAACCTAATTTCTATCTTATTTCAATGCCCTTTCACTAAAAAATATCATCATATTTATAAATATTACACATAAGAAGAAGATAAGAAATGCAAAGGGTAATTACATTATAATAAATGTACCATAGAACTTGCTCTTAACTTCATAACTCTATCTTAGAAATTCAAAAACCATTTATTCCATGGAATGTTGTAATTAAAAAATTGAATCCTCTAGAAATCCCAAATTTCTTTTTCTAATTCATAATTTGATGACTTGGCAAAATATGGTGGCAATGACAATAGTGATGTGACACTCTGAACTCCCAATTGGACTAAAATACCAACTCATTTTACATTTGGCATGTTTCTCATTCTTCCGACACAACAACGACCATTCAATACAAATGATAATTAAAAAAAAAAAGAAATAAAAATATAGTGTCATTTATTCCTAACATAGATATTGTAATTAATTTATGTTGACCCTTTTCTGCATCACTAATTAAGGAGATGGCAGCCAGGATAAGCCTAGCAATGTAGTTGACGACCATCCATCCACAAAAAATCCAAACTAATAGAAGAATAGAAGTTTCATGCACCTACTCACTATTGTTATGGCTAATCCTTATGATTTGATTTCACTGCAATCGGTTGATAGAGATCCAACAAAAAAATTATATCGTTTTCCCTTTAATCAACAACATCACCTGAGATGATGCTTCCACATATTCTCAACTTGGCTAGTAAAGAGCAATAATGAAAAAGGGCTTTAAACAAAGAAATTATGTTAGATAAACAAAGAAACGATGTTAGAATTACAACACTACTCACGCAACTTTAAATTCAGAATATGTTCGTTAAGAGAATAAATCTGATTTTCTTATCCCAATATTTCTTCAACTCTTAAGAGCATAACTAGAATGGACTTTTTTCGAGATATCTGCTCAACTGGATTCCTTTCCAATCTAGTATGCCACGTCAACGAATTGCTTCCCATCAGAAATCATTGGAATGGAAAACAATATTTACCCAAGGCTTCTTACCATTTTGCTCTAATAATTATATCAGTTAAATGATTATGGAGCAAAAATTTCCAATAAAGTCTTCAACATTTCACACCAACTGTGAGTTTTTCATTTATTTAAGTGAACCTTTTGTCAGAGCTCTTGATCTAACTTGTTTTATTTCTTTTTTTCTTTTCCTTATAGCGGTGGACTAGATTTTCAAAATAAGCATCCAATGCATCAATGGATGCTATATATTTTGTACAACCTACCAATAAAAAGTAAGATCTAACAAAAATGCCGTTTCATATCATGCTTGCATCCTATACAATCACTATGCTTGATCATGTTGTTTTGCTTCACCAGCATCATTTACTGGAGTGAATTGTATACCAATGCATTTCCAATCTTTTGCAATTAATTAGTAGGTCCGTTAAATCAATTGAATTTGATTTAATTTTATTTCTTATTCTCCTATTTGTTCATAGGTGAAGTCAGAAGATACTTTTTAACAGAAAATATATCATCATGATAAAATATATTTCTTTAAAACAAGAAATGTCTAAAAAATAGCAAGCAAACTCACCTCGTCATTGTCAACCCCAACCAAGAAGAAAAGTGAAGCATACCGTCTATAAACAATCTTGTAATTACGATGCTCTACAAATGAACACTGCAAACAAAAAAAAAAAAAAAAAATATAAAAAGAATATAAATCTATCTTCAGTGCAGAAATTGTATTCATTCAACCTTCTATTAAAAAGAAAATATTACTCATTTGAAACAGAGTTGAAGCATACTAGTGGTTCATATGATAACCATTTATATTTAGCATGTAGATAATTAATAAATGTACTACTCCATCAATATGGTGTACCTAGTTCATGGAGCTTTTTCATCAATGTAGGGTTTATTTCTTTGATCGAACATAATAAGGTAAATCCCAAAGCAAAAAACCTAACCATTGTTTTAGGGCCATTCTCTGAAGAAGAGTAGATACAAAAAAACGACGAACACAAAAAAAATACAAGAGGAGCTCCTGATGGATCGTAAGTGAAGTAAACAAATGACCAGGTAGGGAAAATCAATTTTCCCATCAAAAGCATCATTAAAATTCACCTTGAGTTCTATGAGAACAATCCAATGTAATAAATAAAATAAATAATGAGATACTACATATATTAAGCATATTACATTAATTCACTGATCTTTCCATGTCAAAAATCATGTAACTTCTATAAATAAAGCCATGGACTTTAAAATAATGAAATTAGATTCTCAACTTATCATTAGATAAAATAGCTAAGATTAAAAAAAACATATTAGCAGCACTAGTGTGGGAAGCTAAATTACGGAGATATAAATGGTAGATAAGCCAGCATTCATGTGCTTGAACAAATGGCGTCCTTACTATTTGGATATGGGAAAGGGATTTTCTTTTTTAAGTCTATAACATTTAGCCTACAGCTTCCCAATAGCTCTAATATTTTAAAAAACATGCGATTCCATAGCAGTTTAATGGTAAAAGATTAGCATCCACTGAAAGAAAACCAATTAACACACTGCATTAAAAAAAAAAAAATTTAAAGCAACAACCACCATAACATAGCGAGAGTTAAAATCCAATGTTCATTAATTACATCAACAGATCTCCATATACAAGAGATGCATTTATGTTGAACAGAGAGCAAAGGCCATAAAAAACATGAAACTAAAAAAATGAAACAGATCTCAACAAAGACCATATAAAGTTTTCTCTGGTACAAGTTTTCTAACATGCTCTTCTGGAAATAGAGGGGCCCCAAAAAGGATTTCAAAGATGATGGAGGTTTTTTGCAATATATTTAGGTAATTTTAAAAGTTCAACTAAATTATAGTTCTGATTTTAATTGTAAAAGCGAGGTTGGGCTTAAAAATCTCTGCAATGTACTTAAAAGTCAAGGAGTTTGGATTTCAAAATATAAATGATACGCGTACCTAACTAGAAAAGTAATTAGGACTGTAAATGTGACTTTTAACTAATGTATCAAGCCCAACCTAATTACTCATTGGTTTGCATCCTTAAATACAGATATGGTATATGATAGCTATGTTGGTATTTCAAGTAATTGATCCCAAAATGAGGTAAGAGTTATACGTGAATCTTCCTCTAAACAATCTTGAGAATTTGAATTTTCAAAGAGAGCTATAAGTGGTCTCAAGTCATGGAACATCTTTAGCTTTTTCTTTCGAGATTGTGAAGTTAATCTCGATAACAATTGAAGTGCAAAAGAAAAACAATATGATTTTTTATACTTCATGGGGGTTTAAGAGCCTCTATGGTAGAAAACCTTAAATTATAATTTCTTTATTATTGCATGTGTTGTGAGCTAAAGAACTAGACGAATGCTACAGAGCAATCATACCAATCAATTCTTCTCCAAACAAATCATCACCATATGTCCATGTAAAAATAGTATAAGCATGTTTTAAATATGTTCCATAAATTGATTATCTAATGAGTAAGTTATATCATATTTACATATCTTAAACATTTAAGGTATGTATTAAAGACCCTCTACTATATAAATGGTACCTCAAAATTGTTTGACAATCTAATGAAGAAAATTAAACATAATTATAGGTATCATAAGTTGCATAGAAATCATCCTACAGGATAAGAATGGATTCAATATATTGGGAACAGCAAATTGACCATAAATATGCATTTCATGATTAATGGTGTATGATTTGGTAAATTCACACAAGATGCACTAATAGGTGTACCAATGATCATTGATTTGGAAAGCAGATCATATGATCAGTTGCCCTTGTGTCAAACATACAATTGGTTTTATAACTAAAAATGTAGGCGAAAGACAAGTATCTCAACAATTTTTCTTTGTTGTGGATGAACTCATTGGATTGGTCATGCTAACAGACAATGTCTGATCAATGAGAACAATAAGATTATGGCATTGCTTTGATATAAGATTATTTGATAGTGGTAGTGTTTCAGCTTTATCTCGTTTGGAATTTGCACAATGAGCTTTATAGAAAAATATTGAATTTTCACACCAAAAGAAACTTTAAAAATCACTTTGAGTTCTATGAGCACATTCCAATGTAAAAAGTAAGATAAATAATGAGATATTACATATATTATGCAAATTATATTAGTTTATGGATCTTTGGAAGTCATAAATCATGTAACTTTTACAAAAAAAACCATGGAGTTTAGAATAATGAAATTAGGATCCCAAATTTATCAAAAATAAAATAACTAGGATTCCATAAAGATGATATTGGCAGCACCACTGTCGGAAGCTACATTGTGGAGTTATATATAGTGGATAAGCTAGCAGTCTAGTTTTCATTCAGGTTAACAAATGGCATCCTTACTATTTTGGATATAAGAAAGTTTTTTTTTCCCCTTTTTTTGAGGTCTATAACATTCAGGCTACAACTTCCCAATAGTTCATATATTTTAAAAAGTATGCGATCACAAAGAATTTTAATGGTAAAAGAGTAACATCCTCTAAAAGAAAACTAATAAATACAAGCCATAGAAAAATTAAAAGCAATAACCAACTTAACATAGCTAAAGTTAAATCCAACAACAACAAAACCTTTGTCCCACTAAGTGGGGTTGGCCACATAAATCCTTTTTCTCCATTGTGTCCTATTTAGTGTCATATTTTCATTTAATTATAATAAATTAAGGTTATTTTTTATACAATATGCTCAAGACTTCCTAGGTCCACCTCTGTTTTTCTTAACATAAGTCGAATCTAAAATATCTAATCTTCTAATCGGATCATCAGATGGTCGACGTTTGATGTGACCAAACCATCTAAGACGACTCTCTCTAATTTTGTCTGTCATTGGAGCTACACCAACCCTATCACAGATATATTCATTTCGCATTTTGTCTCTGAGTGTTAGCTAAAGTTAAATACAATGGTCATTAATTACAACAATGGATCTCCCTATACAAGAGATGCATTTATCATTTACGTTGAATATGGTGCAAAATACCATAACAAAACTTGAACTAAAATAATGTAGCAGACCTCAACAAAAACCCTATAAAGCCTTCTTAGCTTTAGGAAAAAGTCTAACATGATCTTTTGGGAAATAGGACCCCAAAAAGAATTTCAAAGATGATTGAGATATTTTGTAGTACTTTTAGGGAATTTTAAAAGTTAAACTAAATTATAGTTAAGATTTTAATGGTAAAATGAGACTAGGTTTAAAAATATCTGCAATGGACTTGAAAAGTTTTGATTTCAAAATACTAATGATACACTTACGAACTAGCAAAGTATTTAGGATTGTATGAGTTTTTGTCCACTAATGTATCAAGCCCAACCTAATTATCTATTGATTTGCATCCTCAAAAACTGATATGGTTTATGATAGCTATGTTGGGTTTTCAAATAATTGATCGCAATTTGAGGTAGGAGTTACAGGTGAATCTCCGTCTAAACACAAATCTTAAGGATTGGGGCTTTGAAAGAAAGCTATATGTAGTCATAAGTTACGGAACATCTTTAGTTTTTTCTTCATCTTAATACCAATTATAGTGCAAAAGAAAAATAATATGATTTTTTATACTTCATAGGGTTTAAGATGGGCTATAGGTAGAAAACCCTAATTGAGAGTTTCCTTATTATTTTGTGTTGTCAACTAAAGGACTAGATAATGTCAGAGCAATCACATCAATCAATTCTTCTCCATACAAATCATCATTATATGTCCACGTTAGTATAAGCATGCTTTAAATATATTCCATAATTTAAATATTTAAAGAGTTATGTTAGATCATTCTTTACCTATTTTAAACACTTTAGGTATGTATAAAGGACCCTTCACTATATAAAGGGTACCTCAAGATTCCGCCCACCACCATCATACATTCACAATAACGTTACTAGAGCAATGACTTCACTTATGCTTAAAACAGTCCATAAATCTAGCACGACAAATATCTCCTTAAAGCATAGAATTGCCTCATACTCTTTTAGTCAAACACAAACATTCGAAACTTTCATTCACAAATCCAAGAATCAAAAGTTTTACTTTTCCACACTCACATTTGTACGACCTGAATCTCTTCTTGCACTCTTGCATAATTAATAATAGAAATTGCTCCTTATAGCTATGCATAGCTAAAGTTTTGAACTGTGATAATCAGTCACACTCAATGCATGACAAGCCAAATAAGCCTGAAGGAACTGCAATTGCACTTGATGCTTCATATGCATATGAGAATATTGTACTTCAAACTAAGAAAATTTTGAATAGATTGAATCTATGTCTACGATGGAGTATGAGAAGAAGACTAATGTTGTAAAGGAGCGATTTTCTACAACTATTTCTACTTCATGATATTTTTTGTGCTATTTAGTTTTGCTCCCTCCAATTCTCACAATCTTCCTCTCACCCCAAACAATAATTAGTACACTTTACTATCATATTCTCTCCATCTTCCTTGCAACCCCCTACAATAATTGGTACAATTTACAATCCTACGTTGGTAAGATTCCACCAATTGCAATTCCAAGAGCATCCTGAATGCTCATCACTACAATGTTAGAGCACCACTTATTATGTAGTAAAGCACTTCCTTGCTAGAACGAGTAGCTTATCTATCTAACATAATCATTTTGGTACAAGTCCATTGAGTGTGCTAAGAAAAATTACAGCATAATTATTTATGTACCATCACATCAGTGTGCTACCTAGGCATATAGACCTCCACAACAACATACTTCTTATAAAAAATAAAGATTGAGCCATGTCCTTTATGATAAGTATAGGTCATCTTAAGATGTCCATAATTATACCTAGAAATCATCCTATAGGATAAGAATGAACTTAATATATTGGAAATGACGATTTAATAATAAATATGCATTGCCTGAGTAAGGGTGTATGATTTGGTAAATGCACACTATGAGCAGTAACAGGTGTCCTGATGATCATTAATTTGGATGAGCAGACCATATAGTCAATTCCCTTGTCGAAGCTATAATTGGTTTTTAAACTAAAAACATGAGCAGAAGTAAAAGTACCTAAACAAGTGTTTATTGTTTATGCTGAACTAATTGTATTGGCCATGCTAATTAACAATGTTGGATATATGGAATGTAATTTTAGTAGTAGCAGCTCTAGTGACCGAGTTGTAATTATGGGTGATCAAATTATTAAAAGGTGTGACCTTTAGTGATGGTGATATCGATGGGGATGTTATTAGTAGAATTCAAGTTGGTTGGTTGAAGTGGAGGAATGCTTGGGGTCTATTGTGTGATAGAAAAGTACCACTTAGACTGAAAGAAAAAGATGGTGGTGAGACCTGCAATGCTCTATGGCTTTGAATTTTGGCCTTTAGAATAGAAGCATACAAGTAAGTTAAGGGTTGTCGAGATGAGAATGCTAGGTGGATGAGTGGCTTTACACTTAGGGACAAAATCCGAAATGATTATATCTGTGATAGGGTTGGTGTAGCTCCAGTGGCGGGTAAAATTAGAGAGAGTCGTCTTAGATGGTTTGGTCACATTAAACATCGACCATCTGATGATCCAATTATGAGAGTTGGTGTTTTAGAGCCGACTTATGTTAAGAAAGGCAGAGGTAGACCTAGAAAGACTTAGGAATGTTGTATAAAAAAATGAACTTAATTTATTAGAATTAATGAAAATATGGTGCTCAATAGAACACAATGGAGAAAAAGGTTGTCTTCGTCGTAGTTATTTTGTTGCTTCCATTTTTTCTTCTTCTTGTTGTAATAATTTCATGTTTACTACTGTTTATTTGTTTCCTTTCTGATATGAAATAGAATAGGAAACTCGTTCTGTGTGAGGCGGATTTTAGGATTTAGATTGGTATTTCATCTATACATAGCATTCACAGCCTATGGAAAAGGAACCTACGCTCTCACCAATTTGTTTTGGCACAAAGCATCCTCTCTCCTTGTTCCTATAGGTACAAGTATCTTAGAAATTCACTCTTAGTTCATCATTTCTATGAAGTTTGGTTCTTGTGACTCAATTATTGATGCAAGAAAATGATCCCATAAGTGGTCAAGCCATGCCTATGGCTCTCATCACCAAAAACAAAGATGCTTGAATTTATTTGATTATACCATTACCAGTACTCTCTGTGTATTAGTGGTTGAGATCAAACAATGGGCTCATTACAGCTTTCTTATCAAAGGGTAGATCCTCAATTCCATCTCACCTAATATTGCATATGAAAATATTTTTGAACTTTGAAACAAATTAAAGGAAGTCATATCAACAGCGTGCATCTCTTCCTTATTGATCAAGCGATTTATGATTTATATAATGAGGTATGAACATCAACAAATGTTATACTAAACTGAAAGGTCTTATGGTTCACAGGGGATGCATTGTCCCTTGAGACCTTGTGGAGTTAACATTATAAAGATACTATTCAAGAAAATTATCAAAAAACACAAAGAATTATAAAGTTTATTATGAGACTTGAGGAAGCCTACACAATGGCCCTTGAGTGGGAGCCTCTGGTCGCAGTGAACTAGGTAATCTCTCATATATCAACACCTTTCTTCTCTAGAGCTCTCTAAAGGATATCTCTTGGAACCTTATCGTAAGCTTTTTTTAAATTAATAAAAATCATATGAAAATCCTCCTTATTCTCTATGTAATTCTCCATTAAACCTCTCAATAAATGTATAGCTTCCATAGCAGACCTCCCGACATAACTCCAAATTGATTATGAAAATCTTTGTAATATGTTTTAACCTATGTTCAATTACCCTCTCTCATAATTTTAAAGTATGACACGTCATCCTAATTCCTCTATAATTTGCACGCTCTTATACATCCCCTTTATTTATAAACATGGGGACCAAAATACTCTTCCTCCACTCCTCGGGCATCTTTTTTGTTTTTAAAGTAGTATTAAAGAGATTAGTAAGCCAAAAAACTCTCAAATCTCCTAAATATCATCAAGTCCTATAGGCCATCAAGTCCTATAGGCTTTCCACCGTTGATTTTCTTTAAAGTCTCCTCAACTACTTCTTCACTACTGTGACGGTAAAAATGAAATATTTTATTATTATAACGATATTAAGATCACTAAGATTGATCGTATTTTCAAAAACTTTATTGAAAAGTATCAAAATAACTCATCTATCTATATTGAATATCTTTTTCTAAGAAAAGCAAATTTTGATTTCCATCTTCAATAAACTTGCATATTGTTATTCCACGACCAACTACTTTTACTTATAGATATTTTTACTTTTGATTCTCCAAGTACATCTTTAGCCACAAGTTTGATAGTGTTTGTTACTTCATCCCACATAGAATTTGCTTCTTCTTGAACATCCCGAATATTGAAATCTTGAAGTTTACTCATAAAAACAATTTTATTTATGTCTTTTAGGTTCTCAATCTAATTCTATGACAATGATTCCTAGTATTCTTTATTTTACAACTCTTCATCTTAATATCTAAAACTAATAATCGATGTTGAATACTTAAATCCTCACTTAGAATGATCTCACAATCTTTACATTCTCGACGATCTCTTCTTCTCATAAGAAACTAATTAATTTTTGTTTTATTAAATCCATTCTTATAAGTAATAATATGTCCATCTCTTTTCTTGAATAAATTATTAGCAATAACAAAATTATACGCTAAAATAAAATCTAATATGACTCCGTAGCCACCATGAATATTTCTAAAATCTTCTACCACTCAACAGACATGTCCATTTAAACTCCTCTAATAAATATTCTTTCTTCAAGAGGTATATTTGTATTAATTCTTATAAGTCATTCCAAACTTTTCCTTTAGAACCTATATCTAAGCCTACTTGATGAGCATAAAAACTTATAATATTAAAAATTTTAGTATCAACAACAATTTTAAGGGCTATAATTTTATCCCTATTAATTTTTACAAATTATCTTTCAAACATTTATCCATAATTACACCTATACCATTTTTAGTGTGACTCTTA